ACAAAGGCAAAGGCAAAGAAAGGGCAAATTTGCTTTTTCTTTTTGCCTGAGCTGAGATATCCATCTTCTCCTGCCCTGAGACATGGGTGCTCCTGGGTCTCAGGCCTTGGACTAGGACCGGGAGTGACACCACCAGCTTTCCTGGCTCTCCAGCCTGCAGACAGCAGATCGTGAGATGCCTCAGCCTCCATGCTCATGTGAGCCAAAGCCTATAATAAAGCTCATCTGATCGATCGATCTACCTGTATCTGTATTTGTATCTGTATCCTACGGATTCTGTTTCTCTGGAGAACCCTGAATACACATATCATAATGTTTTACTTTAATTTTTATAGTTAAAATTGTTGCTAACTGACCCCGAATCTTCAAAGCACTTGTAGTGATCCTACCTTGGTATCTGAATTACAACTTCAGTTATCGGTCTCCTAGACAGCGCCACTCAGATAAACTAATACTTCTCTCCAAACGGACGTACTGACACAAGACTTAAACAACAACACAGAAAAAAGAAAACCCCAATCACGTGAATAAAATAGACCTTTCTGTCACCACTGGTTCAAGTAAAACCATTCCCAACATAAAGAAACACATTCTTTAGAAAAGATATTGACTTTTATTTTTTTTAAAAATACGAACTGCGCTACCTCTCGGTCCTTGAGCACATAATGCCTTTTTAGTCTTCTGTGCGTGAAAATAAGAAGCACGCACAGAGCTCCTCTGCTGCGTATCCAAGCACAGTGCTGTCGAGAGGAAAAGCAGGGGTGTGACTGCTGGGGTCGCGAGCTGAACTACTGCTTCTTCCCGAACCACTACTTGTTAAGTTGAAATAATTGTGGATTCACATGCAGCTGTAAGACATAATACAGAGCCGAGACCGGTTTGGCTCAATGGATACAGCTTCGGCTTGGGGACTGAAAGGTCCCGGGTTCGATTCCGGTCAAGGGCATGTACCTTGGTTGTGGGCATATCCCCAGTAGGGGGTGTGCAAGAGGCAGCTGATCGATGATGACTCTCTCTCATTGATGTTTCTAACTCTCTATCTCTCTCCCTTCCTCTCTGTACAAAATCAATAAAATATATTTAAAAAAAAAGACATAATACAGAGAAATCCGGCCTACCCTTTGCCCAGCCTCTGCCAATGGCAACCCCTTGCAAAACTACAGAACAACATCAGGCAGAATACTGACACTGATGACAGTCAAGACACAGAGAATTTCCAGCAACCGAGGGATCTCTCCTGGTGCCCTTGATACCCACCCTTACCCACCCCGGGCCCCCACACACCCCACAGACCCGCCTCAGCCCCTGGCAACCACCAATTCCTCCTCCATCCCTGTAACGTAAAGACTTCCTTTTCAAGGTAAAATTCACCGAGTGACAAGTGACACAGTGACTTAAGCAGCCGGGAGTCAGAAACCCACATTCGGGCAACAGGTGAGGAGGATTTTAGGTGCGTTTCATTTTCCCAACAGCTGGGGGCCATTGTGCTGAAAATGAAAGCTCCTGGAAGCTAACTGCAGGGTGCTACTTTAAAGATCAAAATGGAAATCTCAGAATTTCAAGCTCTGGTTCAGTGTGGCCTTTCAAGTTAATGAAGTTCAAAGTACAGAAGATAATTTTCAAGAACCATGTGAAACACATAAGAAAAGAAAAAGAAAGCCAAATGACAGGAAGTCTCCGTGAAGCCATTTTAATAGCAGCAGATAGCAGCTGAATGGTCTCCTCACAACCAAAGTCAGATGACTTCCTTAACCGCTGTCAGCATTTCCTTTGGTTAAAAAAAAAAAAAAAAAGAAAAAAGAAAAGAAAACCCACACTTACCCCGACCACTAATGAGCAGCCTTGATTCTACAACTACTCAGCGTCCAAGGAAAGAGTCACCTGTTACATCAGCAGCAGGGCCAACGTCTTCAGAAGCTGCATGAACTTTCTCTTTCTTATAACTGTCCAAGCACTTGCAGAAAGAGAAACTCTTAACATCACGGGCTTAAATAATCTTATTTGTACATACAGTTATGTCTCACTTCATGGCGGGTCTACATCCCGAGAAACGCATGGTTGGGAGATCCTGTCATTGTGTGAACATCACAGAGTGCACTCACACTGGCCCAGATGGGACAGCCCACTGCACACCTAGGCTATGTGGCCTAACCCAGTGTGCGGCAAACTCATTAGTCAACAGAGTCAAATATCAATAGCACAACGACTGAGATTTCTTTTGAGAGCCAAATGTTTTAAACTTAAACTTCTTCTAATGCCACTTCTTCAAAATAGACTCACCCGGGCCGTGCTATTTTGTAGCAGAGCCACACTCAAGGGGCCAAAGAGCCGCATGTGGCTCTCGAGCCGCCGTTTGCTGACCACTGCCCTAACTGAAGACTTTTTAAATACTGTACGCTAAGGCTACACTAAATTTATTTTTAAAATGTTCCTTTTTTCAATAAGTGAAACATAGCTTACTGTAACTTTTTTACTTTATAAACATTTTAATTTTTTTAACTTTTCAACCCTTGAAACAATGTTTAGCTAAAAGAGAGCACATTATACAGCTGTCCAAAAATATTTTTTTGATTTATGTCTTTATTCTAGAAGCTTTATTTTTAGAGTTAATTTTTTTCCCCCTTGTAACCAGATAATGCACCACCAAACATTTTGGTGTTTGAGTACAAATCTCTTAGGGAACCTGCTGAGGTCTGCAAATGCATCTGCTAAACCCTTCACTGTGAATTTTCTTGGAGGTTCTTTTTTCTCCTGCAGTTTTCTCTTTTCTTGCTTCTTCTTCAGCTATGCATTCCTGTTTCGCTTCCAACAACTCCTCATTAGCCAATTCCTCCAGGAGCTCCTCAATGTCACCCTCATCCGCACCCATGTTCAGGCTGTTTGTTTATCCTCTCAACCACAGCCTTGTTGATTCCTGCAACTACCTCATCCTGGGCAAATCCTTTGAAGTCATGAATGAACCTCTTGAGTGTCTTTCTTCCAGATGCCATTCAAGACTCCTTGGTGACATCACCCTGAACCCAAGCAAGGTTCTTAAGCAAACCCTGAACATCACAGATGTAATCTTCCCAGAATTGCATCAGTGTCTTCTCAGTGTCTCCTTCAGTTTTAGCAACACCTAGGTCCTCCTGAGGTCGCAGGCCTTGAAAACTTCTGTAACTCCTCGCTACAATGACTGGGCCAGAGTGATGTTTGGAGGGAAATACACCATTTTGATAGTGAAATGACAGTGGAGTTCTCACTAGGTGGCAGGAATTTTTCTGCTCCGTTAAAATCTTATGAGACCACTGTCATATAAGTGGTCTGTTGTCGACCAAAACATCGTTATGCGGCAGGTGACTGTACTCCTTATACACTATTTTTTACTCTCCAAAACTCCTCAGTCCATCTCAATTTCTAGCTAACAGAAGACCATGTTTCTTTGAGTTGAGTTTTGTGTGTGGTATTTTTTAAAATGAACACCACAGCAGGTCTAACAAGCTGTAAGTAGTGTGTTTATGTTAGAATAAGGGGAATTCCAGTAAGGTTGTTGGCAAAAAGCAAGTGCAGTCCTAACAACAGCAACTAGAACAAAATATACCTTATGAAAGGATACACTAGAACCCAAACAGTGATTAGAAATAAACCTAAGAAAGGATGTACAATAACTTTATGGAAAAAAAATTTTTTTTAAATGTCCTACATAACTTTAGAAAAGATTATGCACAGGGTGTGGCTCTGTTAGTCCTGCCCCAAATGAAATCAATGAAATTCTAATAAAATCTCCAGGGGATTTTTCACAGAACTCAAAAGAGTAGCCCCACAGTGTATAAAATAGAAGTCATAAAAACCTAATGGTAAATGAATATAACAAATTATAGAAGGATCCTCCAATATCTTTATATAACTAGAGGCCCTATGCATGAAATTCATGCAAGAGTAGGCCTTCACAGGCCCGGCTGCCTCAGCCCCATAGCCCTGGCTTCGTCTGGAAGGTCGTTTGGCTGTCCGGTCTAATTTGCATAATATGCTTTTATTATTATAGAAAATCTTAAGTATACAAAATAGATTTGACATGGATTCATATGTACTAATACTGTTACTTATATTTAAAAAGCATGCATAGGAATCTATAATAATAAAAGTATAATATGCTAATTAGACTGTGACAGCAGAACAGCGGAATGACGGTCCAAATGACCTTCTGGGCAACCTTCCGGACAAAGCCAGGGCAGCTGCTGCAGATGCGAGGGGTGCGCCCCTTTGCAAGAATTTCATGCATCAGGCCTCTAGTGATAACCATAAAATTCTATCAAATTCAAAATAGTAGTTACTGAAGGGAATGGGATCAGAGGGATATAAACTATAATTTCAGTTTTATTTGTAATCTCTTATTTCTTAAACTGGGTGATGGATACAGAGATGTTTATTATATTACTCCCCAGTCTATAAACTCTGTTTGTATGTCTAACTACTCCATAAGAAAAAAAGAATGACTTTTATTTGAGAACCATGTTATGACATGACCTAGCAAACACAATCTAATAAACTACATCAGCACCATCTAGTTAAAAACATGGATTACTAGGCTATCCAAGAATCAGAATTTCTGGGAGGGAGGTCGTGGGACTCCAATGCACAGACTCATTTTGGAACTCTTGCTAACCATTAATCCACCAATAAATTCGGTTCCAATCCGACGATGAGATACTTAAGTGCTCACTTTCCAATTGAAGCAGATGTCTACAAGGTGGCCTCGAATTTGAGAGCAACACCGTACACATTTTAAAGTAGTGCATCCCTTACTATAGACGCCCCACCCCCTTAACAGGGAAAACACGTAAAAAATTAGAAATATCTTATAAAGTAATCACATCAAATGATTCCATAGCCGAACATAATTCGTGCACATCCTCTAAGGGAATATGCCATAGCAAAATTCCACTAGAGAGGAATTATTTTTTTGACGTCTTAAACAACACGAATCTGCGGAACGCATCACCTGGAAAAGACTCACTCACCGGGGCTTTCCACTCTCTTGTAGTGGTAGGGGTTGATGCACACCTCCTTCTGCTTGGAGCCGAAAGGGAACTCGCAGCATTCCAGTGGTTTCAGTTCGTGGTGGCTCTGGAGGTCGGGCCAGCGCCACACGCGGCAGTAGATGACGTGGGGCAGTCCCTTGCGGTGGGAGACCTGCAGCCTGCCGTCCAGGGAGCGGGGAATGGTGACACAGTTACTGGGCTGCCCCGGGCAGCTCAAGGCCTTCTCCAGTTCCTCCATGGCCCCTTTCTTTTTCTTCAGCTTTTTCACCAAAGCGTCCACTGCTTTCTCCGCCCATTTTTCTTCCTCGTCGCCCTGCTTCCACCCAAGAAGTCTCTTCACGGCTGGACTTGTGAAGGAAAACAAGCTTGTCACGTTCATGGTGCTGGCACCGGTGGAGATGCTCCTTGTGTATGGTAAAATGCGGGAGCCTCCAAATGCAAGAGGCCCAGAGGAGGGATTTCTCTTTATTTACATAGGACCCTCCTTAGCTTCTCGGTCTTGAGGTGCTGAAAAGTAGACAGGACCATTCCTAGGGTCTCCAAAGGTAAGCCAGAGTCAGTACCTAGAACAGAAAAAAGAAAAGAGAACGTTTAAAATCATCTCCACCACAAGCCACAAGTTATTAAAGAATTACTACGGGCCAGGTACGATGTTAGGTGCTTTTATGTATTACCTATGTAATACTCGTGTAAAAACCCTAACCCCCAACATCACTATATTTGGAGGGGAAATAATGAAGGTTAAGGGAGATGAGGAGAGTAGGGTCATATCTGATAGGAATGGCGGCTTTACAAGAAGAAGGGAGAGTCTCCCTCTCTCTTCCCCATGCACTGAGGGAAGGCCATGTGAGGACACAGAGAGAAGGCAGCCCCCTGCAAGCCCAGAAGAGAAAACCAGAAACCAAATTGGCGGGGACCTTGATCTTGGACCTCCCGGCTTCCAGAACTGTGACAAATAAATTTCTGTTGTTTAAACCACTCATCTATAGGACAGTAAGGCCCCAGGTAACGTACTCGATTAGGTAACGACTTTGAGCAAAGCAATGTATAAGGAATCCGACTTTTACCATAGGCGAACTGACACAAAAAAGAGTGTGCATGGCATCTCATCAACTGTTAGAACAAAACACTGAACAAAATGATGTCGTTCAAGGACCTGCTGCACTTCGTTATGGCAGCCCAAGCAGACTAACACACAGCATTTAATCCTTTTAAGAACCCTTTCAGCTAGGTAATAAAAGCATTGTCATTTTACAGATGAATAAACTGAGACACAGCTTAAAAACTGCGGCCAACGTGGCTCCATGGTTGAGCAGTGACCTATGAACCAGGTCACAGTTGGATTCCCGGTCAGGGCACATGCCGGGGTTGGCGGGCTCGAACCCCAGTAGGGGGCGTGCAGGAGGCAGCCAATCGATGATTCTCTCTCATCATGGATGTTTCTTTCTTTCTCTCCCTCTCCCTTTCTCTCTGAAATCAATAAAAATACATTTAAAAATACATGCATACAAAATATATAAAGTAGTATGTTACTGTTTACATGATTTCTCTGAGATAGAAGCAATAAACACCTTAGTACAAAACAGTTCAAGTTCTCAGCAGATGTTATAATGTTTTATATTTAGATTCATGTATAGCACTGAAAGTGTATTTTAAGACACACCTGAGTCAACAAAAACAAAGGTTTTCATTTGTTCCCCAAGTATTTTTTTTATGTTAAAAGAAGAGATAGTTCTATTTTTACGACATAAGTGTAGCAACAATCTAGGGTACTTATTCAATGAATAAGCCTATGTCTATTGGCCACAGGATATGTAAGGTAAGAAATTTATTTCACATTTTTTTCAAATTTGCTTTCTATGGGCATGAACAGAATGATGCACATGAACATACGCTTTACCAAATTCTTTAGTGAAGTTGTCTCGTTTAAACCTTCTAGTTACCCTTAAGCGGATGTAAGCACAAAAGGTGAGAAAGATTAAAAAGGATAACTTCACACAAACTCTGGCAAAGATGCAATAGCATGTATAAAAAAGCAAACAATATGCCCAGCCAGTATGGCTCAATGGTTAAGTGTTGACCTCTGAACCAGGAGGTCATAGTTTGATTTTGGTGGTGGCACCTGCTGGGGTTTCCGGCAAGATTCCCCAATAGGGGCATGCAGGAGGCAGCCAATTCATGATTCTCACTCATCACTGATGTTACTTTTACCCTCTCCCTTCCTCTCTGAAATCAATAAAAATATCTTCACTAATAAGAGAATTATGCAAATTGACCATACCTTCATGATGCCCACCAGCCAGTCAGGAGTATGCAAATTAACCCAACAAAGATGGCAGGTTAATTTGCATACACAGGCCCTGAGCAGCTGGGAGTGGGGCGGGATGCTTGCATCGTCGCCATGGCAATGACATAGGCGTGCTGTACCACCCCAACTGCTCCCAGCCTCTGGGCAGGCGGGAAGGCGGAAAGGTGGCTCCAGCCAGAGTGAAGGCGGTGCCAGCAACCAAGGGAAGAAAGGCCCATTCTTGCTCGAATCTTCATGCATCAGTCCTACAATATTTTTTACAAAAGCAACCAAGATACTCAGGACCAGAGTGACCAAGATATTAGAGAAAAAGAAAAAAACAATGAAGTGGGCCAAACATTCTTCATTGCTTTTCTTTTCAAGGCATTTGCAAAGTCTATGCTATAAGTAGCAAGAGGCCTACTAGCTATACTAAAAGAGGCTAAAGACCCAAGCAGAGATTTCAGTAGTCTCGTGGTAGAGACAAAAAATAAAAATAAAAAATTGGCGTTGAAGGCCTGCTAAGAATAAGAAGGAGGCCTGGTGAATACACTAGGCTTTTAGTTCAGACCCATAAGGGCAGAATTGACATGGACCAGTTTTTATAGTAAAACACAACTTAGAATCATCTTAATACTAAAATGGATCAAGGTGATGAGAAAAGAGAAGACTGACAGAGGCAGTATTTGTAGATAATGGCCAAGGCTTTTCCAAAACTGACAATAGATATCTAGCCACAGATTCATGAAGCCCTATAAATCCCCAGAAGGATAAATACAACGAAATAACATCCTTAGCATGCCAATTGTACATAAAGAGCTGATAACTCAGAATTCTATACTTAGTAGAAAAAAATCATGCAAAGAAATTATTGTGAAATAAAAATGTTTTCCAACAAACAAAATCTGAGAAAACTGGCTTCCAGCAGGAACTCGTCAAGCAGAAGGAAAAAGTTCCTAGAAAGAAACAAGGAACTGCGGGAAGGAATGAAGAGTTGCAGAAGGGTAAATAAGGGTAAGTCTAAAATAATACTGATGTCACAAAACAATAATAGGAATCGCTTTGCTATTTAAAACATACAATTAAGATATATAACCTAACAAAGCAGAAAGGGCTAAATGAAGTTGGTGTTCTAAGCTAGGGCTCTAGATTACCCCAGCTACGGTAAAGAATTAGATTATTATTGATGTGAGTTTTGAAGTCTCTCTCTCTCTCTCTCTCTCTCTCTCTCTCTCTCTCTCTCTCTCTCTTTCTCTTTCTCTCTCTCTCTCCCCTCTCCCTTGCTCTCTGAAATCAATATAAATATATTTAAAAATAAATACATAAAAATAAAAAGTAGTATGTTACTGTTTGCATGATTTCTTAGAAAGCAACCACTGAAAGAATAATTTAAAAACTATAAAAAGGTAATAGTAGCTTTAAAATATGTAATTATTTTTTAAAATATGACTAATACAAAGAATATAAAAAAGGGGGGGGAAGCAAATAATGGATGGGAACAATAACAATACAATTTAGATCTAATCCCCAAAGTATCAGTAATCACTTAAATATAAACAGATTAAATAGGTAAGTAAAAGACGGGGGTGATAATGGGGAGTTCCTCTTAACCACAGTGTACTTATCAGAAACACAGATTAAATATAAGGATGGAAAAAGATTGATAGGAAGGATGGGGTTAGTCTTACCAAAAAGCTGGCAAAATAGACTTCAAAATAGAAGCATTATCAGAGATAAAAAGGGACATTTCATAATGTTAAAAGACTTAATCTACCATGAATATAACATAATCCCCACCATGAATATATCAAACTTTTATGCACCTAATAAATCTCAAAATATATAAAGCAGAAACTGACAGAATGAAAATGATAAAGAGAGAACCCACACTCTAGTGAAAGATTAACACAGTAACTGATGACACAAATAAAAATCAATAGATACAGAAGATTAACAATAAGTTTAAAACTTGATCCAATTCATATATATATATATATGTATATATATATATATATATCATTGTATCCAAGAACTGTAGAGTGCAAAATACCTTCAAATACACATAAATTTTTACCAAAAATGACCGTAAAACAAATCTCCATACAGAGTAAAACCATACAGAATATATCCTTTGATCATAGCATAACTAAGAAATCAGTAACAAAATGTTGTTATTGAAAACAATTATACTTTTTAAAAATCCATGGGTCAAAAAGAAACCACAATGGAAATTAGAAACCCTTTTTGACTTAATGATTATAAAAATATGACAAACCAAAACCTGTAGGATATGGATCAAGCCATGCTTAAAGGGAAATGTATAATCTTAAATGCATATATTGGAAAAGATAAATAAAGTTGAAAACCAACATTCTCCATATCCACCACAAGAAAAAACATCATCAAATTAAATCCAAAGAAAGTAGAAGGAAACGACAGTAGTTATTTTTTTTAAAAATAATAGAGAAAACTTATAAAATCAAAGTTAGTTCTTTGAAAAGACTAATAAAGTTGAGCAAATCTATTAAAAAAATGGTTAATAAAAGAAAAGGCACTTATTATCAATAACAAATAAAAGGGGAAAAACATTACTGATCCTCAAAAAATTAAAAAAAATAATGATTATGAACAGTTTTCACAGCCAACTGAGCATGCCCATAGCTACACTGTGGTCATTTACACATCGTTCTCATCATAATAAAATAAGAAATTAAATTTTCTGTCTTCCTGTCTTTGGAGTGCAGCACAGTGCCTGGCACAGAACAGATTCTCAACCAATGTTTAGCTCCCTGGAGAAATCAGAAGGCCAAGTGTGGGACTTTGACTTGATTCAATATTTAATATAAATAAATATTACCCAATATAAATATTATTTAATAGGTTACAGCAGTCGGTAGTTTCCTTTTTTAAAGTATAGTTTTACCCAAATTTACCAGTTCTTTTCACGCTGATATTATTTTCTTTTAACAGGAAACAGGAAACAAAACGATGCTATTATCAAAAGTCACGCTTGGTCAGAGTGTACCTATTGGCATGATCATTTACTAAAAGTTAGTTTTGCAAAAGAACAAGAAAGACAACTTCTGTCTAGT